GCGTAACCGCAGTGGGACCGCGGTCAGAGACCATCTCTGAAGTTGGTTCACCGCGGTCGCGGCGTAACCGCGGTGGGACCGCGGTCAGAGACCCTCTCTTAAGTTGGTCCACCGCGGTCGCGGCGTAACCGCGGTAGAACCGCGGTAGGTCGGGCCAGGCCCGGGTACTATGGTCCGAAAGAAGCGTAGGAACTCGGGAAGCACTTCCGACGTGTCGACGTATGATGCCACCCGGTTCACGTCTGAGGAGGCACAGGACAGGTTTCATGCTAAAGCTACAAAAAGCTTTGTCCCTGAGATCGCTATTGACAGGGCTGCCCTCCGTGTAGAAAAAATGGACATGTACGAGGAAATCAGACGGAGGTGGATGGAGTTATTGTTCGAGGAAACTGAAACGGCCAACCCAATGATAGTCCGGGAGTTCTACGTGAACTGCCCGGAACATATGTGCCGTTCTGTGGTTGTGCGGGGCAAAGTGGTAGATGCCTCACTACTGAAGCTTCGCCAGGTCCTGCAACTGCCTCCGTTCACTGGTGAAAATGATTATTACCACAATTCTCCAAGGGTCGATTGGGACACTCTTGAGTCAATATGCTCAGGGGGACGGCCAGTTTGGATACAGGAGTACATGAACCTTCATTCCAAGTCATTCATATGGGAGGCTAAGTGCTGGTTCACCATTATTTGCAGCAGGTTATTGCCCACGGGCAACACGTCAGATGTGAACAGCTTACGGGCTCTATTGGTTTGGTGCTTCGTAACCAGGAAGGACGTTGATGTTGCTAAAATCATTAGAGATGAAATGATCCTCCGGTCACCTCTGATGACTAAGGGGTTTTACTTCCCCTCACTTGTGACGAGGTTATGTCTGCTGGCTGATGTCCCCGCCAGTCCTATGGATGGAACTTTGCCCACAAAAACAACATTCAGAGCTTCGAAGATCAAAGTGGGCAGAGATGCACCCACTCCCATTGATCTTGACGACGATGATGACGTCCCAGCACCCATGGCACCACCCAAGAGATCTTATGATGCTGCCGGCTCCTCTCGGCAACCCCAAACTAGGGCGGAGTTCTCTAGATCACACTCCAGCCGACCCAGGTTGCCTTCTTTGGAGGAAGAGGTGGCAGAACTTTGCACCTCGGTGGATGGCCTGCATGTATGTTTGGATGCCATGTCTAGACGGCAAGCCAGGTCTGAGAGCCGGTTGATGGCTTGGTTCCGCACTATAGGGAGGGCCTGTAAATTGGACCCCAGCACCGTCTCTGACTCCGACTGATGACCAGGGAAGTTTTCTTACCCTTCTGCGCTTTCATTGTTTTATGACATGGGGACATGCCATATTCTTTTTGTGTGGGGTGGGAGATTTGATTTAGTGTGTGTATTGTTAGTGTATATATGCATTAAGTATGTTGTAGTTTTGTGTTTCTGTTATTGCTTGTATTTATGTTAGACGTCACTGACTTGGTCCAACGACGGACACTTGTCGACGGGTTTCTTGAGGGCTAAGGTCGGATAAAAAAAAATCTAGAAAAGGTAGGAGATTCTTCCTGATGACGGGCCACATAGACAGTATTCTTGAGGGAAGTAGTCTAATAAAAAAAACCCAAAAAGATTTTATTTTATTTTATTTTATTTTTAGGTAGTGTAGTAATTCCCCCTTGGTTTTTCTTTTGACCACGGTTCTTTTCCAAGGGCTTTTCTTGAAACGGGTTAGGTAGATTTTGTTTTTTTTTTCTTTAATTTTTTTTAGGGCCCTTAGGACTCTCTTGGGCCAAGATAGGTGAGGGCAAGAATGCATCCCGTGGTGTACATACCTGCAAATACTTCAAACGAACTTGAGGGTGCGACGTCTAGGCTCACGTGTAGACTCTTAATCTTATGCCTTAATTTTGCACACCTTGTCTTACTTGAACGCTCATGTGAGTGTGTTGACAAACTAATTCGGAATGAGTTACATGCCAAGTGTATGAGGTAATACATGTATTCTATGCTTGCATGCGATACCTAGAACTTGCCCGGTGTGTGTGCAAAGCGAAATAGAAGTTGTTTGGTCTTAGAGATGATTTAGGCATTTCTTTGTGTAGCCTATATAATTGTGAATCCACCTGTACATATTACCATAGTTAACCTCTTTGAGCCTACAATCCTTTTTCTTTGGCAACCACATTACAAGCCTTACCCATTTGTTTGAATTAACCATCTATTTGAACCTTTTCACCTCTCATGAGCACTTGAATTGTTATGAACCTTGTAAAAGTTAAAGTGTGGGGTGGTCGGTTTGGCTTTCGAGTGGAACTAATTGAATAAGGAGAAAGGTGCACTGTTTTGAAAAAGGAAGAGCCACTTGAATTGAAAAAAAAAACTCCTCGATAAGTGGTGGCTCTTGACGCAAGTGTGCTTAAAGAAGAATGGGGTAGTTACATTGATGTGAATGTGGAATTTTGGGGTGACATAAGGATGGGGTTTGATTGATAAAATGTATGTATTAAAGTGCTTAGGGAGATGTAGTCACTCTCATATCTAAATGTATCCTACCCGTCCCGTAGCCTACATTACAACCAAATGAAGCCCTATTGATCTTAGACTGAACAACTCGATTAGTAGAGTATTACACTAAGGGCAAGCTTATGGTGTATCTGTGTAGCATTTGAATGTTCTTTGCTGAGAGTGAGTGAATTCGTTCTATCTACAGTTCCTTGTTATTTGATTTCATGTGTGTGGAACTTCTCTCAAAAATATGATGTGAGGGCATTTAACTCAAGAAGAAAAAACAAGTCTTCACTTCTGTTTAGAGTACATAGAGTAAGCATGAGTGTGGCATGGCATTAGAGTCTTCATCTGAGGTGTGGTTGTTGCACTGCTTAGGTTGTTCCTTCATAATGGCGAGTGTGACATAAACAGGGTAATGCATCAAACGATTAGGCCTAGAAGTGTAGTTCAACTTGCTCGAGGACGAGCAAAGATTTAAGTGTGGGGTGTTGATAATAGGTGAATTAGACTATAATTAGGCCCTAAAGAACCACATTTTTGTATAACTTTATGGTAAAAAAAATGATAACCAAATGCTCTGATTAGTGCTTTTCATGCTTTGCAGGCTATATCAAATGAAAGAAGTCTGTGGAGTACTTTTGGGATCAATTACGGAGAAAAGGAGGCCAATCATACAATACCTACAAAGTGCACCAAGCGAAGGGACAAAACCAAAACTGAAGCTGGCCTGCCGCTGTCCGGGCGTAACCGCGGTAGGACCGCGGCAGAACATTGCTGCAGATTCAGAGGACCATTCTGGCCGCGGTCCTGGAGTAACCGCGATGGGACCGCGGCAGGACGCAGAAACTTTAGGGACCAAAGTGTCAAGTCGGGAAAACTTGGTGTAAAACCCTTATAAGATGTAGAAATTCGGCCACATTAGGGCAGGCTTGATTGGGAGATTATTTTGGCAGGACAAAAGTGTGAGATATCACCCAAAAATATCATAGTTCTTTATCTCTTCTTTTTCTTGCTATTTTCGATTATGAATATTTTCGTAGTTTATCCTTACGTTGTTATGAGTAGCTAAATACTTTAGTCTAAGGTTTCGATGGAACCTATTGAAGGATGAACTTCTTGATTATGTTAATATAGTTTGCCAGTTAATCTCTATTTGTTCAACTACGTGTTTGTTGTAGTTAATTGATAGGATCCTCAATTAGCTGTGCCTATTTAGTGTGCATAACTCGGAAGAGAGTGCATATTTAGGTAATTGTTGAACAACACCACTCCCAAAGTATAAGAGGGATCTATAACTGCGGGTTTAAAGGCGGGATTAGGGATAACGAAGCTTTGGGTGCAATCTAAAGTGAGCTGTAATAAACAAAGTCAGCTAGCGTATCTCGGGAGAGTGCGTCTAGTAAATTATCGCGATTACTCGGGAGAGATTTACGGTAAAAAGATTGCTCATGATTGATAGAGATGTTTTGGTGAATCTATATGAAACATAACCGGAAGGGATTCCATCTATAGGGGAAATCACTACCTTAGAACCTTCTCATTATTGTTTACAACCCAAGCATATTTAGTTTACAGCTGTTTATTTACTTTCAGTCTTAGTTATTAGAAATACCATCAACTATTGTTTACAACGTTTGGGGAAGTTGATTATAAAGAATTTAGTAAGTCCAACAAAAGTAATTGATAGGTTAATTCTCTGTGGATTCGACTCTGGGCATAAATACTCAGGTTATATTTGCAACGTCCGCGTGTCCTTTTATAAGGCATAGTTGGGCGTGATCAGTTATCGGTTTATCGATAAACCGATAAGATATACTAAAAAGATAATTTTTTTATTTTTTTAATTTTTTTTACCCTTATTCTATAATACCCTTTCCTTTACCCTAAGTCCCTAACCCTATTATTTCCTCTACCACATTTAAGGAATGGTCATATTTAAAGTTCAAAGGAATGAAGTTCAAATTATTGGAAAATAAAATTAGCCGTGATGATGTATTTTGTTTTTTTTATACCGTTGGAGTGTTGGTGACATACATTTGATCCCTTACTTTAGTATCGTTGCATGTGCTTGTTGACACAATTTTTATATTATAAATGGTGTTCGTCTTATTTTAGCTTCTTTTTGTCCATATTAGTTAGGCGTGTTTATAGCGGTATACTTTCCGTGGAATTCCGCAAATTTTCTTATTGGTGAAATCGATAACCGAATCGATAAGCCCCAAAAATCGATAAATCGAAATCGAAAAAATCGAAACCTTATTGAAACGATAACGATAAGCATATGTACAAATCGATAATCGATAAGTAATTATCGATAAGGGTCAAAATCGAATCGATAAATCGAATGCACACCCCTAGCATAATGTTTAAGAAAAATAGTTGCTTATAGAAATGCTCTCCATATTCTCTAGCTTTAAGGGACTTTAAGAATAATTTTGTCTTTAACCATGCTAATGCATGCATTAGAGCCTTGGTATTACTAATGTCATGTTTTTCTATTCATTACTTATGCATAGGATAATGTCAAGTATGATGTATAACTAATAGAAACATTAGTTATACACAAGTTGAAAAAAATATACCAAACAAGGCATTAGTAATACATACAGCTAATGTCTGCATTACGCTACTTACTTCTCTTCGTACAATGATTCTTAAAGCTGTAAATATGCACCTCCGTCTATATATATGCCAGTTTTCGGCCACTATTGTACGAGCCCCACAGACTCAACAACTACAAAAGAAAATACAGTTCCAGAATTCAGAGATTAGTGTTGAGTGGTCTTTTCATTGATATTTCAGACTTCTCCATATAAAAGAAAGAGCTTCAAGCATTCAAACATAAAAAACCGCTAAACATCCCTCCCATTTCTTCCCCTGCTCCATGAACGGTAGCTTATAACAAGAATAACTCTTTTTATCCATTTCTATGGACTATGTAAATCTTCTACTTCTTCTCCTTATGTTCTGTACTTTCATGCAATCAATTCCTTGTTTGTCTATAAAGCAATTACAGCAGTCAGTTATTCTTCCCCTCAGAGCCAAGAAAATATCATCCTACTCCATCCCTAAACCACCTAATAAAGTTGCTTTCCACCATAATGTTTCCCTTACAGTCTCTTTATCTGTTGGATCGCCTCCACAACAAGTTACCATGGTCCTCGATACAGGGAGTGAACTTTCTTGGCTTCATTGCAAGAAGACTCCAAGCACACCCTCCACGTTCAACTCCCTAATTTCTTCTTCCTACTCTGCCATCCCATGTTTGTCCACCATATGCAGGACAAAAACCCGGGATTTCACGCTACCCGTTTCTTGCGACACGAATAAGCTCTGCCATGTTACGCTATCCTATGCCGATGCTTCTTCGGTCGAAGGTAATCTTGCTGCGGAGACTTTCCATATCGACAATTCGAATTTACCCGGGATGGTGTTCGGGTGCATGGATGCCGGTTCAAGTTCAAACCCGGATGAAGACTCCAAGACTACCGGGTTGATAGGAATGAACCGTGGAGCTTTATCTTTTGTTTCCCAAATGGGTTATCCGAAATTCTCTTACTGTATTTCGGGTCGTGACTCTAACGGCGTTCTCCTATATGGAGAAGCAAATTTGCCATGGCTCAGACCCCGGAAATACACACCGTTGGTTCAAATGTCAACTCCGTTACCCTATTTTGACCGGGTGGCTTATACAGTCCAGTTGGAAGGAATCAAAGTTGCGGGTACGGTTTTAAACTTGCCCAAATCCATTTTCGTACCGGATCATACCGGAGCGGGTCAAACCATGGTTGACTCAGGTACCCAATTCACTTTCCTACTTGGCCCGGTTTACACAGCATTGAAAAATGAGTACATGAATCAAACCAAAGGTATGTTAAGAAACTTGAACGACCCAAATTTCGTGTTCCAAGGGGCAATGGACTTGTGTTACCTAGTGGAGTCGACTCGTACGAATTTACCCCCATTGCCAGCAGTAACTTTGATGTTTCGAGGTGTGGAAATGAGTGTCACTGGGGAAAAACTACTCCATAAATTAGTAGGGGTAACAAGAGGTAGGAATCAAGTTTACTGTTTTACCTTTGGAAATTCGGATTTACTAGGGATAGAGGCCTCTATCATTGGACATCATCACCAGCAAAATTTCTGGATGGAATTTGATTTGGAAAACTCCAGAGTTGGATTAGCTGAAGTTAGTTGCGAATTGGCAAGTCAAAAATTAGGACTAGACCTTTAATTAATCTTATTTTTATAGAGTTTAGCTATCTTGGTGAACCATACCTTTTTGTTTCTATGTCTCTTACTAGTTAAATTTGCAATTTGTATTTGTAAATAAGTAAGTGTGGTAGGACTATGTACAATCCACGGTTTAGCTGTTTCCCGGATGGGCCATTGAGTGGTCATGCCAAGTTTGTTCTTTTGTTTGATTGAAGAAAGCACAGCCAAAGCTGTGGAAATTGGGAAGTGTGAAAAGATTTTTCTGTTCTCAATTTGTGGGCACCATTACGTTTATAGTACTAGTAATATTCTGCTAACTTTTCTTTGGCTTCTTCTCGTGCAGCAGCTGGCCTGATATGGGTGGTTGATTTTTCTTTTTCCTGGTCATATCACTCTATTGTCTTTCTTTTATTTCAATGAGTAAACTTTCAATGGACAAACATATACTCCGTCCGTTCAAGTTTATGTGAACCTATTTTTTTTATAGGTCTTTCCAAAAAGAATGATCATTTTCTAAATTTGGAAATAATTTTGCTTAAACTTACAACTCTATCCTTAATGAAAAGCTTTTATAACCAAACAAATACTCTGGACCCCTTTTTGACTTGTTTGAGACCACAAATTCCAAATTTTTTTTCTTAAACTCCGTGCTCAGTCAAACAGGTTCACATCAATTGAAACAGAGGGAGTATTTAAACAAAGTGTGTATGAACCCGGTTTATACTGCAATCGAAAAGAACAGAGAAAAAAAGGATGAGACAAATTTGTAGAGAGTTGTTGAAAGTGTTGACTGCAAAGGTCAGTTGGCACGGCCGCCATATGGAACGGCGTTTACACGAAGGTATTGTCATATGAGTCAGCTCTCAAAGGATTTTCCCCAATTTTGGTTTGGAATAAAATGGTCAACCTTCCTCCTCACAAATCGGTTGATTTACCAACAAAATAATTACTCTCAATTTAGGTGATAGTTTTTTCTTATTGGTCAATTCCAAAATAAATAATATCCTATATTTAGTAATAGTGTAATTTTAAACTTCTCATTTTACTCTTAATATGATATTATAACTATAAAATTTTATACATCGTATTTTAGATTACAAATTTCAAAAATCTTTATTTTATTTTAAAACTTTGTATCCAGTCAAATATCACCAAAATAAATTAGGTAGGGGATTATGTAATTGTAATTTTACGCTATTATAACTGCGAACGGCAAAGTTATAAAAGTATAATGCTTTCTCATATGTTTTGATATAATTATAGAAGAATATGTCTTTCTTTAAGAACTATGCCCTTTGAGATGTATAAAGTAACTGCATAAAAATATAAAAAATACATCAACATAAACATTTGTTAAAGATATATTAAGAAGACTATAAATTTTAGTTGTAAATTTATGAACTACCTTGCTCACCCGGTTCAACAATAATAATCCCTGTAGCTTAGCCACCCACGACTAATTCAATTCACTCTTCTTAAAGCTTTTGTAAAATGGTATCCGTCCTTCGTTTTCCCCTGGAAATCTCAGACACAAAGAGAGGATACGAGCTAATCTTTCACTAGAGGAAAAGCTGGCGAAAAGCATAAAGCTTGCGTGCTATGCTCTTGCACTCTTTCTATATGTGAAGCTGAGACGGGAGAAAAAGCGTAATTCTCCGACGTCATAGGTTACCTTTCTATCTTCTTAAGAGAAGAAGAGAAATCATATGGATTCAAGGCGATATCCCTCTCCATCGTTATAGAGTTCTTCTGCTCTAATCTCCAAAATCCAATGTAGAGTACAAGATCGATAAGCATACATTGGTTGGAAGTCCGAGCATTGAAAAGGAAGGATGCTTTCAGATGCGAAAGGCCATGCTGAGATACAGTATGTGATCCATGGATCTATGATCGGGAAGCAATATTCAAGCTCCGGCGCTAATTTGCGCTCTTTGGGCTTTAAAAAAAAAGAACCTATCTGGTCTTGTTTTTGTCAAGACCCTAAACCCAGACCCGGTCATGATGGCGCCTCTCGTGAAGACAAGGCCAACCGACACATTTTCAATCCAGTTTTTAAGCAATTAAACAATGAGCATTTCGTCTAAAACATGATATAAACTCAGAAGTAACAATGACAATACAAAACAATTCGCGGAATACAATCCAACTCAGCCCGGTACCGGGGTGTCACTAGTCATGAGCATCTACTAAGGTCCAAATACAACTGACAAAGTCTAAAATATACTAAGTACAGTCTAATAGTATAAAGAGGGAGAAAAGCAGTGCTGCGAACGCCGGCAGCTACCTTACTAAACTCCGATGACTCTGTCTCCGATCAACCAATACACGCAACCGGGTCCAGAAAAATACTTGAATCTGCACACAAGGTGCAGGGAGTAAAGTGAGTACTCTGACTCAGTGAGTAATAATCATAACTAAAGTCTGAATGGTAAGAAATCACGAAAAGTGCATCAACATGCTGTATAGAAGCAGTTCAAAAACCAGTAAAGAAGCAGTGAAGCTGTAAAATCCCTTAAAACATCTTAGCTCAGTTTGAACTTCTTTGAAAATGACTTTTTCAACAGTTACACAAATGAATGCAGAACAACTAGTGCAGATAAGCACAGAAATCCGCCCCTCGGGCACAAATACACAATTAAACAGGTAAATGACAGGCAAATAAGAAAGATAAGCATATAAGGTTCGCCCCTCGGACACAATGTCAACAAATCCGCCCCTCGGGCAATATCTCAGAACAGTACCAGCCCCTGGGGCAATCACATGGAACAATATCAGCCCCTCGAGTAATCACATAGAACAATACCAGCCCTTCAGGCTATATCTCACATCACAATGGGTACCCGCGCTCACTGGGGGTGTGCAGACTCCTGGAGGGGCCCCTTACGGCCCAAGCGCAATAACAAGCCATCTCGTGGCATCAAATCTAGGCCCTCGGCCTCATATAAATCAAGCCACCTCGTGGCGTACATATCTCAGGCCCTCGGCCTCAAATCAATATCAATGTTTCCTCACAACATAGGCCCTCAGCCTTACTCAATCAAAAATCTTCACAAGCCCCTCGGGCAATAGTAAAACAGTATTTCTCAGCCCATACATCATTTAAAATATCATTTAAGTCTCAAAACTGAGTAAAAATGTCTAAGTAGTAAAACAGTGGAAAATAACATGACTGAGTTCAAGTAGTAAGTTAAAACAGTGAGGAAATATCAATGAAAAGCCCCAAAGGGTTCAAATAGTTGGCACTAGGCCCAAATATGGCGTTCAACCCAAATAATGATGATATCAAATAGTTTTCAATCAAATACGCGGTAAAATCATCAATCAGGACGGACCAGGTCACAATCCCCAATAGCGTACGACCCCACGCTCGTCATCAAGCGTGTGCCTCATCTCAACATAGCACTACGATGTGCAATCCAGGGTTTCAAACCCTCAGAACATCATTTACAATCATTACTCACCTCGATCCGGTCCAAACTCTAGCCCGCGATACCTTGCCCGCATGAATCGACCTCCGGATGCTCCAAATCTAGCCACAATCAGTACATGATCATTAAAATATGCTAAGGGAACGAAGCCCACTCGAAAATATCCAATTCACACCAAGAATCCCGAAATTGCTCAAACCCGGCCCCCGGGCACACGTCTCAGAATCCGACAAAAGTTACATAAATAGAAACCTCGTCCTCACACGAGTGTATACATACCAAGAACATCAAAATCGGACCTCAATTGCCCCTTCAAATTCCCTATTTACACTCTCCAAAGTCAAGCCCTAATTTTCCTATTTTTTAGGCTTTAATTTCCACATATTTCATGATTAAACAAGTAAGAATCAACATAGGATCGAGTTTTGAGTTCACAAATCTTACCTCCAGGTGTTATGTCTTGAATCCCTCTTCAAATCCTCTCAAAAAGCTCCAAAATCACCCAAAAATGGTGAAAGATAGCTTCAAAATCGCGGACAATGGCTATTTAAACATTCTGCCCAGGCATCAAAAACCTTCTTCGCGAACGCGGTCAAAGCCTCGCATTCGCAAAGCACAAAAATTACTTTGACCAAATTTCCTCTTTCGCGATCGCGACCAACCCACCGCGAACGTGTTGCTTTACTCGGACAGGCCTTCGCGATCGCGTTACACCAACCGCGAACGCGGCGAATAAAATGCCTCAGACCCTGCTGACCACTCTTCCTCTACGCGAACGCGGAACATACCTCGCGAACGCGATGCATAACTTCCCAGCCCTTCGCGAACGCGAAGGCCAAATTCTCAGCCTTCTCCAGCTAACCCTTCAGATCACGCCCAACTATGCCTTATAAAAAGGACAATGCAGTCGTTGCAAATATAATCCGGTTTACAAGTCCGGAGTCGAATCCCATAGAGAACTAAGGTTTAGCTACAGCTGTTCACTATCACCAAGAAGACAAGCTTGAACAATTCCTAACTTATAGATATTAAGATTCTTGTGTTTAACTACTTAACTCACAAATTAAAGTAGTAAATTAACAACTAACGATACTGAGGGTTAGAGAAAAGATTAAGGAGGTCTAGAGTTATGATTTCCCCAATTGTTGGAATCCTTCCCGCTATGTCTTCTATAATTTCGCCTAAGTATTCTCTACCGATCATGAGCACTCTTATTACCGTAAATCTCTCCCGACTAATTACGATAATTTGCTAGACGCACTCTCCCGAGCTACGCTAGCTGGCTTTTAATACAGCTCACTTCAGATCGCACCCAAGGCTTCGTTATCCCTAATCCCGCCTTTAAACCGTCGATCCCTCGTATACTTTGGGAGTGGTGTTGTTTAACAATTACCTAAATATGCACTCTCTCCCGAGTTATGCATACTAAATAGGCACAGCTAATTGAGAGCTCTTCAACCAACCGCAATATAAACGTAGTTGAACAAATAGAGAAAAGCTATGGCTCAATTATATAAAAACATAACAAGAATTTATCCTACAAAAGGTTCTATCAAAACTCTAGATAACAAATTAGCTATTCATAATAGTATGTAAAACTACAATACTAAAAGTCATAACCAACAATGAAAAAAATAGGAAGAGGAAGGAAAAACTCGTAGAAGAATTCTCCGCCTTGCTCCCAATGTGTTCTTGCCTCCTTAGGTCGAATCTATGTCCAAAATATGTCCCCCCTTCTTCAAAATAGGTTTAGGACCCCTTTTATACAAGTTGGAATAGTGTAGGGCCGAAATAACCTTGTCCCGGACGAAATAGGATTTCTTTTTGACGCCTGGAGCGGCGCG